GAAATGGTGTAATTATAGGGTTACATTAGGAGTGCTTGGGAAGTACTCAGGAGAAGTAACGAATGTCACTTGAAAAGTACTACTTGTTTCAGTGGAACTTCGTGCACCACTTGCTTCTTTTCTAGTTACTTGCTGCCGGTGAAGCTTGGCGAGAAGATCGTGGTGGAAGCAACGGTACTAAAAATCGGTCGAAACATAGCCTTTACAGAAGCGGAATTTCGACGAAAGGACGACAGTCGAATTGTGGCCAAAGGCAAGCATACGATAGCGTTCGTACCGAAACCGATAACCAACGGCGAGCCCTTCGAGCAGTTTTAATAATAACACACCTATTATTAAAACTATTGTACGCTATTATACATATACAGTTTACCGATCTCTTGAGTTGTTCATTTGAACAACTGCGCATTATCGTTCACTTTAGAATTACAGGTAAAAAAAATAGAAATATGCTTGAAGTTATGATAAATTTTTGTCTTTTTAGAATCCTCTTTTTTTATAATTGCTGAAATTAAGAAAATTTAGCATTATAAGAAATATTCTAGAAAATTCGCAGAAAATCCAGGAATTCTTAAGTTCCAAGTTGCATGAATTCTTGAGAAAACACTCATCTGTACAGGCCATTTCGTGATGTTCATTCGTGTTCGTTGTATTTCATAGACAGGCAATATAGATTCACGCTTAGCTAATTTGTACATGTAGACTAATTTATTCACTTTTTTTTCAAGTATAACTGTAATAACTTATATTTCTTACGACAGTAAACGAATCTACTTTGGGCATTCCTCGAAGATGCGGCGCGTAGAAACATTGAACAAGCGATGGGTACTAGCTGGGGGTATGCAGTTTAGGATGACAGACTAAAATAGCTATGCCCGGGGAATATGGGGGCATCGCCATACCTTTTATCTGAAAGGTTCTGGTATTTTTTTTAGCAGTAGCACAGTGATGTACTTTTTATTCACAGGCGGATCCAGGGCGGACGTTGGCGGGGAAGAGTCCCTCCCATTCTGGAACTACGCAAAAACGAGGGATAGAGTTGTAACACTGCTACTTACAGTTACTTTAGTTTTATTTATGAACAGACCCGGGTTTTTGCAGTATCGATGCTTGCGCCGAAAAACCTTTCATCCACCCCCCCCC